ATGGCTGGAGAGGACTCACAATCATGGTGGAAGGTGAAGGAAGAGCTAAAGCACATCTTACATGGAAGCAGGAAACAAGGTATGTTCAGGGGAACTAAAACCATCAGATCTTATGAGACTTATTCACTCTCATGAGAACAGCATGAGAAAAAAATCCACCCCCATAATTCAGTTGCCTCTCACTGAATCCTTCCCACAAGGCACAGGTATTATTACAATTCAAGGTGAGATTTGGGTGGGGACACAGAGCCAAACCATATCACCTGGATATTTTTTGTTGTTCCTGTTGTTGATTTTTTAATTATTTTTCAATATAAATGTCTAAATGATTTTAAAATTTAGATGGAAATTCAAGACCACTAAAATAGCAGAATGGTAGAGTTTGCTAAAAATTATTTTATCTAAAGCACATTTTTGAGCTGCCTTTAATTTATAGTAAATATATCATATATGGATTCAAAGATAAAAATCTCAAATACAAAATAAAAAGGCTATTCTGATCACATTCTTTATAATTTTAGAGACAATTTACCACCTCAGTGTGATATTTCCAGAATAAAAACACTTAATCTTTTAAATTAGTTATCATATGGCAGATACTTGAACTTTTTATTCTTCTGAAATAGAGCTGACACTATCATATCTTTCGTAAGTTTTCAGGACCAAAAACATACTCATTCTTTAGATTTATATGAAACATAAATAGCTACATTTATTTCTGATGTAATTTTATTCTATATGTTTGGAAGGCAAGAGCCCTGTAAGCCTTTTGGGTAGAGCAATTCATTAAAGTGAGGCCTCAATTTTAATTAAGTGAAGTTAAAAATGCAGTTTCTTAATCATACTGGCCATATTTCAAGGGTTCAAAAGTCACATGTAGTTATTGACTAAATTTCTGGATATTGTATATATGGAAAGTTCTCCATCATCATAGAAAATTCTTTGGAACAATAACAACAGTAGTTTACAGTTTGTCTTTTATTTTACAGCAGCTTTCATAGACACTTTACATGAGCTCCATCCAAACTTCTAAATTAAAAACAAAGAGACAGTTTGTTTGCACTGAAAAATTCATTTTCCCTTGTCATTTGTTTTTCAGTTGTGACATTTCTTTAACTGCTATAAACCCTTTTTGTGTCAAAATGTTTTTTCCAAAGCCTGACAGCTCCCTAATTTTTATCACTGGTTTTCAGTAATTTTATTATTATGTGTCTGGTGTGTAGATATATATTTTCTGCTTGAGGTTCATTGATATTCTTGGATCCATGGGATTATCATTTTTAATAAATTTGGAATATTTTGACCATTAAGTTTCTTGAATATTTTTCTACTAGCTCCTCTGGCACTCCAGATTTATATATGTTTAACAGCTTGACGATGTTAAATATCAACTCACTGAGGCTCTGTGTATTGTTTCAGTGTTTTATCTCTATACTAAGTTTTATGTATTCTCTATTTCTTCAACTTCAAATTCACAAATTTGTTCTATGGTTTTATCACCATTCATTGATTTTTTTTAAATTTTAGATATTATAGTTTGTATCTTTAAAAGTTTCATTTTTTTTATATCTTTAATTTATCTTCTAGTCATGGGTCATACTTTGATTCATAAGATCTGTAGAAACTTTTGATTGGATGGGGGAAATAGTGTATTTTATGTGATTGGATGTCTGAGTTCTATTTTTTTTCCCTCTTGGCTCACTGCAACCTCCACCTCCCAACTTCAAGAGATTCTCCTGCCTCATCCTTCCAAGTAGCTTAGATTACAGGTGTGCACCATTATGCCTGGCATTTTTTTTCTTTTTTTGTATTTTTAGTAGAGATGGAGTTTCACCATGTTGGCCAGGCTGGTCTCAAACTCCTGACCTGAAGCCCTCTGCCTCCCAAAGTGCTGGTTTTAAAGGTGTGAATCACCACAGTTGGCCTTGTTACTGTTTTTAGAAAAGTGTTATACTTTTCTTTGATAGACATTTGGGTTGTTCTGGTTTAGTTTGATCATCTTAAGCCTTGTTTTCAAGTTTTACTCTGGTAGACACAGAATTCCTATACCTATAGGAATCGTTAATCCCCATTACTAAGGCCCATCCTTCTGATGCCTACATTTAATTCTCTGGATAGTGAATTTGGACTCTCCACTTTTGCTGGTAGGAACTTGTATGTTTCTTGGCCTATTGCAGTTCTTGGAATCATTCAGTTCTCAGCTTTGCAATAACTTTTTGACCAGCCTCATGAAATTGTACTCTTTGCATACATGACTTAGAAATCAGCATAGGTTCAAAGGATTTTAAAGCAGATTTCTAGAGTTTTTTTTTCTGCATAGCTCTCTTGTCTTGAGAAACCTGTCACACCAATTCTAACTGCCCCAGATGCTCTCAACTCTGATCTGTATCTCCTCAACTCAACAGGGTCACAGTCTCAGTTTACAATATCCTCCCCCTCCCACTGACTGCTCTAGACCTGAAATATGTTTTCCAGGCAGAAATCTCGGCTCTCCTACATTTTACTTTCTTTGTCTCTTCTTTCTCAGATGTGATGGTTCTGCATTGCCTGTGGTTTAATGTCTGAAAAACAGTTGCTTCATCCATATATCCCTGGTTTTCTATTTCTTTGGGTCAGGAGGATTAACTTAGTCACTGTTACTCCATCATGGCAGAAAGTGGAAATCTTTCTTCAACTGATTTAAAAATTTATGTAATAGAAAAGCTATCAAACTATGAATTATTGCCTAATTTTTAGAGAATGTTGGAATGACAGAATACAATACTACAACAAAACTTACTCTTGTAAACACTGATTGAAACTGCCAAGTCAGTGTTTGTGAAAAAAAATTAGATACATAGATATGTATAGATTTTTACGGTAAGTAAAAATTATTAATTAGAATTACACATTGTCAGTTTGGAGGTACAGGTATGAGTTTCACCCACATAGAGTGAATGATACGGATGAAAGACAGCATGTTGACATTCATGATGAGGAATCAGAGTACAGCTGTACCCTCAACTTAAATTTGACGAAGTGCTACTATCAATGCAGACCACTGGGCTCTGTAAACTGCAAGTCCAATCTAATCTAACAATTCTTGTGTTTGCATTTTAATCAATGTATTTCTGTCCAGGAAATAAAATGTCAACCATAAGAATTGAAAACAACTATATGGTGTTTACAAAAATGTGTGCCACATGAGAGCACAAACAAAATAGTATGCTTTCTATGAATTGTATTACTGATGTTAGCCTAGAATGGTAAGAAGGGAAACTGACTCTAGATTATCAACCCTGATTTTTCTTGTTTCAATTAATTCTCAGAGCATTTGACTTGAGATATGCAATAGCTCGAATTGCAATATTTAAAATATATATATATATATATATATAAACTTTTCTTTCTTCAACACTACTCTGAATAATTCATAAAGGAAGCACTTAAATGTAGCTAATCTGAATCAATACAAGGCAGTGTTATAATCTTTGTTTCTAATGATGTCTTACTCTTTTTACGTAAATAACTAAATGTTTTATTTTTGAAGCTGACCTTCATTATAAGGAGATATTTATAATGTTGACTGTCCAATATGAAGTAAAGCTTTAAAAATCCCAGATGTAATGTTGAGCAACTTAATTTGAAACATTTTATGTTACTTGGTTGCTCTTGATTTCAGGAGTACCTGCTTTAAACGCATAATAAGTACATTTTTAAGCATATCCAATTTACATGCCTTAAAGACTTCATCACCTTAATGCTTAATTTAGAAATGTCATTTTAAATGATTCTTAAAAATCAGATGCACTTATTTTTATAGCCATAATATTTTACGAGAGCCTTCATATAAAAATACAGTTGTCATTGATGAATGGTATCAATTAGCTAATGTTCAACAATGATCATCAATGTCAGAGAATGTAACCTTGTTGAAATTTTAGTTTAGCCATAATAGTATCTATAAATTAATAGGCACTATAGATAATGCATGACCAAAAATAGGTTGTTACTAAATGTTGTGAAAGAGGGAAAGGAAGGAAGGGAAGAAGGGAGTTGGGGGGAGGGAGGGAAGGAAGGAGGGATTTTCAAGGCCTTAAAATAAATCTGTTTGTGCTGGAATACTTAGAAATAAAAGTTTTGTTGAGTTTAATTAAACACAAATATTCTTACAAGTTCACAAAATGATTTTTTAAAATACTAGCAATTGTTAGTCAACAAAGGAAGCTTTAGTTAAGTAAATTAGAAAATGAGGTTAAGAATAAAATTTCAAGTTACCTAATCTACTAATTTGCTGATCATTGATGAACACTGGCTCATATGTTTTGTTTTGTGTTTTTATGAAACTGACATGTGATAGTGATATTGGTTCAAATAAATAGCATATATAGTATTAATTCTGGCTAAGTCTTTTATTTTTTAAATTCTGGTTTTCTTATGTTAAGCATCCTAATCAAATTTCTAACACCATTTTTTTTTCTCTTCCACAGCCTTTAATGGAACAATTTGTTAGTTTCCGATAGAAGGGTTCTGATATTGAAATAGATAATGTGTCTACATGTTATAGAAATGTAGAAATAATGCATGTACTCAAACATCTGAAAATGGAGGTCACATTTCTATATTCCATCTGTCATCAGACCTTAGCCATATTGGATTTTTTGTTGTTGTTGATAAGAAAAAGCAGATTTTCCTCAAAGTTTCTTTTGCAAAATAGATAGATTTAATATAAAAGCAACTGCAAAATGTTCAGTCATTATTCAGAGTTGAATTTTGAAGAAACAAATCAAGAATTTTTATAACTATATGTTAAGTGATTCTAAGTTTTTTCTACTGTATTTAGCAATGCAATGTTTACATTTTATATTACTAAATATATTAATTTTCTTCTCAAGAAATCGGTAATACTTAGGGATTGGAGGTTTCCTGAGTGTAATATTGAAAAACTGTTAAAAAGCCGGTGATACCGATTCAATCTAATGATTTACCTTTTGATTATTTGTTTTGTTTGTTTGTTTAAGGATTAAAACAAGGAGAGCCAATCATGACTGGCAAAACACAGACCAGCAATGTCACAAATAAGAATGACCCCAAGTCCATCAACTCCCGTGTTTTCATTGGCAATCTAAATACGGCAATTGTCAAGAAAGTTGACATTGAAGCCATTTTTTCAAAGTATGGAAAAATAGTTGGATGCTCCGTTCACAAAGGGTATGCATTTGTACAGTACATGAGTGAGCGACATGCAAGAGCTGCAGTGGCTGGAGAAAATGCCAGAGTCATCGCAGGCCAACCACTTGGTAAGTCATGCCCAGACATGGGTCTCATGCTATTGTTCATATACCTGGAAATTGTTTTATTTCTCAAAAGCCAGCACCACTGTTGGTTCTATCTCTTCTTTAACCAGTTAGAGTGCTTGTATATTTATAATTTATATTTTTTGTCCTCATATTGTTTTATATATAGATATCTTATTTTCTCTAAAAATTTATAAACTTGAGATCAAGACTACTTTGTAATACTTATTAGCTCCACCAATTCTAACAGAGCCAGGCAAATAATAAATATACATCATGTTTAACTTATTTCAATTGACATAGCATCAATCTTCCAGGAAACACTATCCTATGCAAAAAATAACTGTGCTTGTTATACTTAGGGCATTTGATCGGAGGGCCTAATGCATTTTCCTCATTTCTTTTTTTTGGGGGGGTGGGAGAGGGGTTAGAAAATAGCAAAAGAAATTTTTAGAACTGAAGAAAGAATATAATTCACATTTTTAAAAATCTAGTTAAGAATTTTGTATATAATGCCTATATAATCATGAATAATAATCAGATTTCTGTCTAATGTTCAAGAAATAGTATTGTTTTTTTCAAAGAAAGAAAAACAGTGCAGTCTCAAAATTAAAAGACTTAGAAAAAATATTTTATAATCAGTGTGTAGATAAAAATAAAATTTAGATAATTATTTAGATGTTTGTCTAACTTAGGAAAAAAATTACAATTAATACATTAATGATTCCTCAATTTATATTTCTTATTCTGTCTAGATTCATATATCAAATTCATTGTACATCATCTTCTCATGGATACTCAAAAGGCATTTCAGCTTCATATGCCTAGAAAAAAATCCATGATTTTCCACACCCTCAACCTGCTCCATACCCAAGCTTTTTCATTATAATAAAGGGAACCCCCATTTTATCCAGTTTTTCAAAGAAAAAACAACTTTGATTCTTAACTTTGCCCCCCCCCACACACACTCCAAATTAATCCATTATCAAGTTTACGTGTCAATATATTGCAAATACATTCCAAACCCAGTCTCCTTTTAAATCCGTACTGAAGGCCATCTCATACACGCCATGATTGTATCTCAGGGGCACTGAAATAACTCTCTAGTTTGTCCGCTTCTTTTTACTCTTGCTAGAGTGTCTTTTAAAAACATAGATCAGATTATGTCCTTAACCTGCTTTTAAACCCCTAATGCCTTTCTCATACAGAATAAGATTCACATTCTATACCATACTTACAATGCCCTGCACTGCCACATCTTCAAATCTATCTCCATGTTCCCTCTGCCTTCTTGAACCACTCTAGTAATTCTGACTGGTTTGATAATGCCTCAGACATTCCAAGATTGTTCCTACTTCTGAGGCTTTTTATTTGCTATTCCCTCTGCTCAGATGACAGGTCTTTGCTAATTATTTGCTCCCTGCTTTATTGAATATGCTGTGCTCAAAATTTACTTCCAGTGAAAGGAGTTTCCTGACCAGCCTATCTAAAATAGAATAGTCATCTTCCTCCTTCCCTCACTGTCTATTCCATTACTCTGTGTTTTTTCAAAGCCCTTATTAGCATCTGGATTACATAGTTTAATTTATAATCTTACCTGTGTCATGACCACAAACATAATAAAGCTGAAGAAGTATACAAAAGAAGCAAGTTCAGTGTACAGAGAAACAAAGCTAGAAGAGTGTTAACAATATTGTGAATATTATCAAATATAGCACAATTAAAACTATTTGGGAAGGTATGGAATTCATTAAAATACAGGAGAAGTCAGAGGTAATAATCTTGAAAGAAAAAAGCAAATGTTGTTTCGCCTAGGTGCCAGCTATTAAACTACAAAAAAATCACTATCAGATAGAAATATAATTTTTATTTACATTGGTCCCATCCAACCTTTTATATTGTAAAGAAAGGAAGTGCTTTTCAAGAGACATTGATATATTTTCCCCTTGTCTTTTTTTTTTTCCTTAGTGTCCAAATTCTGCTTGCTTACTTTGACATGAGAATTTTCTGACATTTTTGTTTCCCTTTTGAAGTTGAAAGTCTTATTTCAGGGCCATATCCCAGCAGATTTCAAGGAAAGCTCTATTTACTATCTGTATCCTGATTGTTATGAAACTAACAAATACTTGAGGAAATGCATTTAATTATCTTTATTGTTTTGAAAAATCAATTATCAGTTTACGATCGATTAAAAGTCTGATTCACTTTTTAACAAGCTACAGCTAATTTTCTGGAGTCCTGTTTCCTGTCGCTACTCAGTTGATTGCTCTCTTTTTGAGAAGAATGCAATGGACACAGATAAATAACCACACTAAAAATGTAGTGCCTTACCTGCACAAACCCAAGGAAAAAAATGATGACACCAAATTGCTTTGCTTTGAGAAGCACAAAGTTAAATTGTGCCTCTTCTAAGATACTATTTCTCATTCTCAGCCATTCCTCTTGGATCCTTTCTTAGTTTTTTCCTCTGGTAAATCTTTAGAGCATATATCCTAATCACCTATAATCACACTTTGTGCCTGAAACCAAGTCCAAGGCTTTATTCCTTTAGTTCAAATCTAATCTTTCACTACTTCTGTCCAGGCTGAATGGCTTTTCATACAAAGCAAGTGCATTACAATTTAACTAACAACTTTGCTTTTCAGGACAACTGCCTGAATATATCCACCTTTTTAAAAACTGTGTTCCTAGAAACTCAGGTTTGCCTTCCGGTTGTCTTCCCATAGAAGCATAGGTCTTCCCATAGATAACTACATGTCTTCCAATTGATCCCCATAGAACTTAGTTCCTCCATCAGGTCCCAAAGATCGTTAGTTTCTAGGATGTATATACATTTCTAGCTTTAAGTACTGTACCTTTGTTTTTGATGATTTGGGAAAAACCTGGGTTCAAGTAAATTAATCACTTTCTTCTTCAGTTTTTCGATTCCCAATTAAACCCTTTCTAATCTGCGGCCACAACAAACCCCAGCAAGTCCTTAATATGAAGTGCATTTTTATGGATGAAATAATAGGCCATTGTTATATGAAATTATTGTTAGTATCAGGTACCACAACGTATCTAAGCATTCTCCTTAAGAGTGAGAAGGAAATTAATGTTGATTAGATCATGCTCTGAATTAGTACTTTACCTGTATTATCTTATTTGATCTCAAATAATGCATATTTGTATATCATTTTCTGAAAAGGAACAACTTTTATTTACTACATGTTTAAAATGTGTATATATAATTAAGAGATTAAAAATTAAACATGAGTAGTTCCAGGAAAAATTAAGCCTGCTAAGGTGATTTCTTAAAGCTCTGGCCATAATTTAATTTACTTTGTTATACATTTCCCGTTGTTTAGGCACATCTTTTGTACCACGGTAGGAAGAAAGTATCCCTTTTTATTCTCGGCTTCCTGTCTTTGATATGAAATAGAAGACTGTTAAACCCTGTGTGAAAAAAAATTGCATTTTGACTCACATTATTTAGAAATTCCTAAAAAGTCAGACTCTATCTATTAAATTATTCAGAATATTTTTTAAATCACAATTTCTATAATGTAAAAATCCTCATAAAAATATATGTCTATATTTGGTTATTTAATTGATTTAATGCTATTTAAATATAAGCAGGTGAAATTTAACGTATCCTCTTAATATTTAATTGAATTTGAATTCTAAGTTTGTTAATATTAGAAATATTTATTGCATTTTTCAATTTAAGTGTAGTCATTAGAACTTTTTTCCTCAAAAACATTTTATACAAGATAAAACCTTTTTAAATGCTTGAGACAGGTTTTATAAGTAGTCATACACAAAGTGTCCTTTTACACAAAATGTTATGCAAAGGTTAGAGACTACGACTAGACAGTGCCAATTTTACGTATCTACTGATTACACTGGCTGATTACACACCTGCTATAAATAAACATTTGCAATGTCTTTCTTTATATTCAGATTATTTTACTGTTACAATGCTTGTAAAAGATACAACTTATGAACTTGAGAAGTCAGCTGTTGATAGTAGGAGGAACCATTCACTGAAAAATAATTTATCTACAACAATCATTTTTGTTCTAAAACCCATATGCACGCCCTTGTCTTTAAGAAGCAAAGTTTGCTTTGATAAAATAATATATAAAGCAGAGAATTAAATTAATTTTATCACATTGTACATATCTTGCAAATGCAGAAATCATTTGAAGTGGGAACATGATGAATATGGATTGTAAATTTTAAAGTAAATATGGTGAATATATTTAACTAGATCCTGAACAAAGTAATGGAATTGTGTTAGTGTAGAGAACAATGTTGGAGAGAGATCATAAGGACAAAGAAGAGAACAATCAAATGCTTGTAACAATTCCTGTCAAGCACATGCTGAGTGCAATAGATTTCAAATGTCTTTTTATCCCCAATGGTTTTTCATCCAGAGTGATCTTTTCAAAATGCAAATCTAATCATGTCACTGTCTTAAAACTTTCAGGGATTTCTCATTGTCCTCAGAAAAAAGACTGAAACCTTTGCTGTGGGCTTCAAGTTTCTACCTCATTTGTTTCTTTGTCATCTGCAGACTCACATCAGAGCCTTCTCAACCTTGCTCAGACATCTAGCTAAATTGACTTCTTTCATTTCTTTGAACAACTCATTTTCTATTGTCCAACGGGGCCTTTGCACATGCTATCTTGACTGCCCAGAATGTTCTTCCTTATGAAGCTCTGCAAAACCTCACTCTACTTCCCCACTTTATGCTTTTTACCTGGCTAATCATTCTTAAGATCTCAAATCAAATTTCATTACTTTAGTGAAAACTATTTGCATCCCTCAAAGCTAGTTGAAGTGTTTTACACTTTCTAGCCAGTATCTTCTTTTCAATTGTATTTTTATGTTTATTATTTTGTCCTCGATAGCTGCCTCTTCTCCCTCTAAGCTATAAGTTTCTTAGGGCATGAACTATATATGATTTTACTCATCTTCTTAGCACCTAACAAATTGCTAACACTTCCATGGCAAATGCT